AAAAACAATAAAATAAGATATAAGTTAGAAAATCGATTGTAGTGTATTATTTATGGCAATAAATCGATTACCATAAAGAATACACTAGTGAAATTCTCGTTTCTGAACGTTATCTTTATATATAAAAATTACGTGTCACGTCGTTTGTCCGCGATGAACTACTAAACTATTGAACTGATTTCAAAGAAGTTTTGCACACTGTGTGCAATTTGGTCCAACTTGAGAGATAGGATAGTTTTTATCCTCATAAGTGATGCTTAATATTTTTTTATTACGAATTTAAGGATTTTTTATATGAAGGGTTGTCGAAAAGGGCAGAATAACGTCTGCCTGGCCAGCTAGTCTTCCAATAGAGGACTTGTCATTTTGAAACTTGACAATTCAAACCAAACTTCAAACTATTTACTTAAAAGAAAAAGAAAGATTTTCGATTCGATTTGAAATGAGCGCAATATGATCGATTCTCGATTAAATTGAGCATTTTAATATCTATTTTCGATTATTTTTCTGTGTTAACTTGGGAGATAAAAAAATGCGTACATATCTACAAAATAATAATAAAAAAATACAAAATATCAAAATTAACCACAGCTTTTTTGGTGATTTTATACTGATCCTGCTTTTATATCTTTAAGTAATTATAGTGAAAAATAGCCTGTTACAGTGTAATAACAGTGAAAAATCACCTGTTACAGTGTAGGTAATAGATAATCTCATTTTTATAGTGCCACCAACTTATCTGTTCAGTTGACAGAGTCGCTAGTGGAGCGCTTACTATTGCCATTTAAGAAATTCACCGAGGAAATAGGTGACTACATATTCATTACACATAATATAAAATGAAACAAATTTCTTGTTAATATATTAAAATTAGTGAGATTTAGTGTTATTATATATATTATTTATATTTTATAAAAATAATTGTGGTCTTGAACTCGGAGTTCAAGCGGCCGAACTCCAGGAATTTCTGTTTTGAAAAATTTACCCGCGTTAGCTACTGGTTCCAATAATTCATCTTCTGAGTCACTGGAGTCGCTTTCGCTATCGCTCTGACACTCTATAATAAAGGGTTCATCTAAATACGCGTATTTTAGTCTGTTTTCATTTTCAATTTTTTTCACATGATTACAAATGATTTTCCACTACACCAGTGAAATTTTAAGGAATGCATCTTCATTTAATTGGGGCATTAGAACATTAGATTTTTCAACAGTTTTACAGTAGATTGAGATATTTTTTTACTATGTTACACAAGTACATTACTTGGTGATTTTAATTTTCCATATCTGGCAATACAAACCTGTCGCGGCAGCAACGCGTTCATACAGCTTTTCAAATAGTATAGTTGGGGCTTGTACACGTTTCTCTTCTTTCATAAAAGATAAAACTTTCAGGATAATCTGTCGCGCATCACTTTTAAGAGCTTTTAGGCATTTTATTTGCACTTTTTAAAAATACTCACCTGATAGCTCAGAATAAATAATAACTGACAGCGAAATGTCATTTACAAAATGGCGGCCTTAGTTCCAATTTTGTTCACCTGAACAGATAAGTTGGTGGCACTATACTTATTCTACCATAACTCAGCTCCTAAATTGACAAATCTTGCCAGATTTTCAGCTATGAATTGTCTGTATATACGCTTTCAAATGGTCCTACTTTCACCTAGTTAACACTTGGGCCCAAGACTGTATGAAGACGTCTCCTTCTTCTTTATCCACAAAATATTTATAGAACCAAATTTAACCCTGTAAATCCTCAGACCACAAGAAAGTCAGCCGGAGCGCTGCATACATTTCCAGTTATGCGGAAACCACGCTTAATTTCTAGACGCACGCGGCACACTCACGTACACATCTTCCTTGTTTCTTTCTTTATCAGCCCTTAAAAATTTACTCCTGGACGCACACATATGCACCTAAAACCATGTTGTTAGTTGAAAATGATACCAGCTGTATATTTGTGCGTGAGCTCTTACAATAAGTTGAACATGATTTTGGCTTTGTGTCACTTGAAATGTACGCAGCGTTCCGTCTTTCCTTTTGGAGTGAAAACTTCTTTAGAATCGTCTTGATTTGAAACTCGATGAAACGAAAAAGCGACACTAAAAAAAGACAAACATTACATCTATAGTATTTAGCCTGCGAGAGAATGAGATAAAAAACAATCACTGTTTGAATCCATTCGACTAGTCCTTTTCTGTCCCTTTAAAAAAAGGTTTTGGTAGTTTTTTTTTTTAAATACCATGTTTTGTATTACCTCGGTCTTCGTTTTTGCGGTAGTTTAAAGATTTTTAATATAAATTTTAACTGTTAAAATAAACAATATAAAAAATAACTTTATTAAATAAATAAAATTACATAACCATATTGATTTGATTATGATTGAACATAAGAACAAGACCACCGCACCTCTGCTCCACGCCTCCGGTGTAATGCTACCATGGAGGACGGAATTAAAGAGCTTCTGAAGGACTTCAAGTACCGGTTTTCCACCCGCTTTCAGAAGCTCCGCTGTAATTTCATCCTCGCCTGGGGCGTTGCCGTTTTTAAGGTGCTGGAGAGCCATTCTAATCTCGCTCGGACTGACGTCCGGGATATCATCAGAATAATGTCGGATAAGACTCGCTTTTGGATCGTTACTCACACTCGCGTGTGGCTCCAACGATGACGTGTACAGCTGCCCATAGAACCTCTCAATCTCAGTCAAAATCTCAGGTGCCACGGAAACGATGCAGCCACATTCTGTCTTCGGCTTTGACAGTTGGCTCTTTCTGGCAGACAGATCTCTGGCAAAGACTTTGGAGCCTTGGTTCCGCTCGATCGCTACTTCAATACGAGCTGTATTGAAGTTGCGTAAGTCCCGCCGCGTGCATTTGGAGATCTGTCTGTTTAGTTGCCTGTATGCTATCAAATCTGTTGAAGAATGTGGCTTCATCTCCCGTCTAACAGCCATGAGATTAAGAGTGTGATCGGAGAGTTTTTTTGTTCTTCTGCGGCGGGTCTTGCAGAACTTAGCTCCAACCGCATGGACAGTTTCCACGAGCTTGTCATTCATATCGTCCACTTCATTGCAGTCTTCTAGGCACTGTAAACGGTTTTGTAACTCGAGCTGAAAGGTTTCGGGACTTTGGATCAGAGCACGAGGGGGACGGAGCGTTGACTTCATTAGACAAGACCGCTCCAACTTGACGTTTAGGTTTAATGTGCCTCTAACCATTCGGTGATCGCTGCCGGTTTTCACTGAACAGTTGTCGTCTGGTCGTCATAATGAAGTCAATCTCATTTTTGTCGAACCGTTTGGGCTCGACCAGGTCCACTTCCTGTGAGGCCGCTTCTGTAAGAAAGAGTTTATCATAAAGAGTTTATAAGAGTTTTGCGTTGAAGTCTCCCATTAACACCGTATAGTGGGATTTGGAGGAATGCATGGCTCTAAAGATATCCTCATACATTTCCTCCACCTCCTGATCGGGGTGTGCCGAGGTTGGTGCATAAACCTGTTTGACCTTCAGCGAATACCGTTTGGTGATTCTGAGTATAAGGTACGCAACCCTCGTCGACACACCCTCAATCTTTACAACGTTGTTAACGAGAGACTTGTGGACGATAAATCCGACACCTCCTTGGGACAGATGGTCGCCTCCCGGTGATATAGCAAGTTACCGTGTCCTCCCCCTCTCTTTGGACTTTGGATAATCCTATAATATGCCAGCGTAAGTTGTCTATCTATTCTTCCAGCTCCACAATCTTCTCGTCAGTCCTCAGGGTGCGTGCGTTGTATGTTGCCAGGTCGAGTCGTCGTAGGTGGCAACCGAACCTCCACTGGAGATTCTTAGCACCCCCTGCCCCGCCGTTACCATGGTCGCCACCGTAGCCAGGAATAGCGGGGCCGCCGGGGACTGGGGGCCGTCTCTTAGTAACTTTATCCATTTGGGGGGTATTTGCCATAGTTGCCACGCTTGACGAGCGGGTTGGCAACCGCAGTTTTTTTATTATAAGTTTGTTGTTATCAGGAAGATGCTACTGCCCATCTCCTGCCTGTTTCCCTTTGTCGCCTTTTACGACACCCACGGGAAGATATGGGGTAGTGGCGGTTATTCATTGAATAAAATCATCTTAATATACCACAATTCCTTTATAACAATCCACGATTTTATAACTTCATACAATCTAGCATCTATTTTACATACTACCTTGAGTGTCAATCAAGTTTTGTTTCACAAAATAACTTTGCCTATAAAATGATGGCGTTATTACAAAGCAATGTTATTCGAAAGGAAATATTCTTTTAATTTATTACACTAACATTGAGTTTAAAAATAAGGATTGTAACATTTATTTGCTATACAATTAAACTTTTACCTTATATTTTATGCCGCACTTGTGGTTGAAAATGATCATACAAAATAAATAATTTGCCGTTAAATATTTTTATTTTATATTTCATTCATTTGAAGATTTCACTTTTACTGCGTGTAAACTGAACACATAGGTATATTTTTTATTGTCATGAGTATAAATCTAATAATATCAAACGGTAGGAAATGCTACTAAATAATTACAAGTTATTTACAAGTATATAATGTTAATACACACATAGAATATATGTTAGTGATAATCAATAAAGTATTGAAGAAAAACAAAAATCAAAAGAAATATAAATATCTCAGACCAAAAAACTTTCTTGACACGCACTCGCGCTCAAACATTTTGTATACTTACTAACACATAGCAGTCCTTTTAGCATACCGCTGAATGTTTGCATTTCCAAGAATGCGCCAGGAAACATGGATTTACTAGATGAGCTGCAAGTACTCATTAAATAGTTTAAAGATTTTGTTTCCCCCATTAGTTGATAGCCATAGCATTATACTTCGTTTAGCAGTAGGTACAAGTATGTTTGACATGTGGTAAACAGTTCCCATATTTCCCTCTCACAGACTTACTATAACTACTTTATTTCCACATTAATAAATCAATAAATTTTTACTGTTACTATAGCAACGTGGGTAAACCGATGCAGTGAAGACCTAGGATGCCTAGATCTGGAGGATGAACAACCGTTGGCCCAATTAAGTTCAGTACAAACTGATAAGATGACACTCTTTTTCACTGAGCTTCTAGACCATGATCGTGACGATGTCATTTGTGACCAGGACTTTGATAATTTTTTTGAGGTGAGTGATCACTGTATTCGCAAAACAAACAATAAGTAATTATTAAAAATTCAGTATTTGTCATGTCTTATATATAATATTAGTATTTTAAGTTAAAGTATAAGTAGTTTTAGATAAAATATAAAAGTTCACGGAAGGTGCCACTGAAACTATAATAAATATATATAACAATGTAGGAAAACATGACTTTATGCGTCGTTATGAAAAGGAGTCTTGGGTCTCGGCATAAGCCGCTAATTTTCAATCGACCTCTCATCTGTGACTTCTTCAAAAATATATTTCCATTAGCAAGTATAAAAGAATTTTTGATTTATTGGAATAAAATCTATTTTAATTAACTCTATTTTTAACTATATATTACACCACTTATTAATGATTCGTTTGCACTAAGACCACAATCTAAAGATTACTTTTTTAAAGCAATGTAGTTATAGTAGTAGTAGGGTTCTAGTGTTCTTCCGTGTACTTTGTTGTACTATAGTTTATTTGTCATTCGGTATACTCGTCCTCTTGCCTAGCATAAAGCATCGTCTGGATGTCTGTAAGGAACTTAAATTTTGTTTTGCTAGGTTACAAACATAATATAATGTAACAGAAATCACTTAATTCATCGTAAGCGAGCTAACAGTCCGCTTTATAATAAGTAAATAGCTATTTCGGCCACTGATGGGCAGTGACAATATATCCTGCATAGTTTTATTCGTCTAATATCTCTGTTAAATTTAATAGTTATTTATTTCAAGCATAGTTTCAATTTGTAAAATGTTTTAGTAAATTTCTGACATATTTGTAGAAGCTCGCGCATTTCGCCGATTGGTCAAATAACTCATCCGAATTCCACATTCTGTTGGAGGTGAAGCAAGAATTTATCGAATATTTCATCAGCCCGTTACCTACAAAGTAAGTCAAACTATCACATGGAATTATGTTAATATAATTATTAAGTAATAAATATTTTAAAATTGCTACAGCAAGATAATTTTTCATATAATATTGAAGTGCCAAATGAACTCACCGTCCACCTGATAGTAAAGTGTCACTGCAGCACCTTGATACAACTTGATACAAAGATGGCTACAGATGCGAACTAGTGCGAGGCTGAGAACTAAAATGGAATGCCTCTCAGCCTGCAATAATACTGGTTCTCTGCCCTGCCCAGACCCGAATGCGGCATTGCTCGAACTGCTGCTTGGAGGCAACAATAAGTAAGAGGCTGGCTTTTCTACGTGGTAGAGCCATGCTGCAGCTATATTAATAGTATAGTTGTAGCACGAATGGGTCGGCTCGGCCGGGGAAGGACCACGCTCTCACAGAATACCAGCGTTAAATCTATGTGCTCGTTTGTCACCCTTATTCTATAAAAAAAAAATGAAAAAGGAAATGTCACACTGGCATTTTACATGCTGATGAAGATAATTGTAGGTACTGTCGTGTACTTCCACAAAGTATTAAAATTTTATTTTAAAACATATGTAATGTTATTGAAACACTACCTGGCCCAGCAGACGATATTTTAACCTTTCTGGAAAACGGCGCGATGAGTTTCACTCCGAATTCACTCCGGACTTTTTGAAGAGTAAATACAAAGTTGGGTTGAGTTTTCTTTTTCAACACTAAACCAAGATATATTATGAATATGAGTCATTTTGGTCATTCAGAAGCTACCCGATCACTAAGAGACGCATATATTTATGTATAAAATATTAAAAAAATTTAATTCATTTGATATTTGCATTGCATCTTAGGTGGGGTGAACTGCCGTATTATAAAAGAGTATGCGGACCCGAAGCTGGTGGAATACCTGGCAGAACTACATTAGAAGGCTGGCTGGCACGGTGGGCGCTACACCTCAGCGAAATGAAGAGATTTACTGACCTGCCTTTGTATTTGCAATACCTTTGCAAAATTTTGTTTCACGTCGTAGACAGAACTAGTAAGTTTAAACCTTTAATATTAACATACATTTCGACTGGCACGTTACTCTAGTGGTCTTAAGTGCAACTGCAGATCATGTGATCTCGGGTTTGAATCACCGTTCGAGCCAAAATCAATTATTGGGTTTTTCTTACTTTATCAGCCCGGAATTAGAAAGTTAGCGGTGTTTTACCCCCTTACCTCGGAAAACACGTAAAGCCGTTGGTCTTGCACCTGATCATGTTCCGGTCGTGTCAGATTGGCGTCCCATCGGGACTAAGGGATAGACAATAGATTGTACACCTGTGTTTGCGCACACTCGTGCGCACATTATCCTGTCCTGCGTAAGTGGCTGCCGTGACTGAAATTCCGTTCGGAAGTAATTTTTATCGATCATCAATTTATCAATAATAAGAGTTTAGAAAACGATAAAATCAAGCATTCACATTTGTTGCGTATTTATAAATTACACATTACCCACGTAATACGTTTCTGGAAAAATATTATTATACTGTCCGATATCTCGTTAGCCAAACCGTAAAATGCATCACTGATGTGGTTGGCTTCGAGCCAGAGGTTGATCTTGATAATCTCTGCATCACAACGTAATTTTATTGGATAATTAGTGTGTCTAGCTTTTGAAAGTTTACGAGTAGCATAGAGCAACAAAATTTATTACTCAAGCCTCTCATTTAGTGAGAATTTGCTATCGCAACACTGAATATTAGTTTATTAATTTTTTATGTTTTACACGGTACAAAAACATATAGTATATAGTACATCTTTGACCAAAAATAAACGCATATAAATATTTTTTAAAGACTTACCTATTACAAATCTGCACATCACTAACGAAAAGGCAATTTACCAACTTATAAAACTAATCATCATCATTCATTATCATTACAGCCCTTCACAAGTCCACTGCTGAACATAGGCCTCCCCCAAGGCATGCCACAAAGCACGGTCCTGAGTCACCTGCATCCATCGACTTCCTGCATGTCTCACCAGGTCGTCACTCCATCTAGTGGGGGGTCGCCCTACACTTCGACTACCGGTACGAGGCTGCCACTCGAGAACCTTTCTTCCCCATCGGTTGTCGGTTCTTCGAGCTATATGGCCGGCCCACTGCCACTTCAGCTTACTAATCCGTTGGGCTATGTCGGTTACTCTAGTTCTACTGCGGATATCCTCATTTCTAAGTTTATGACGCAAAGAAACCCCGAGTATAGCCCTCTCCATAGCTCGCTGAGCGACCTTGAGCTTCCTCATACGGCCAGCAGTGAAGAACCACGTCTCAGATCCGTAAGTCATCACTGGCAACACGCACTGGTTGTACAATTTCGTTTTAAGGTTTTGAGGTATGTCTAACGAGAAGATGTGTCGTAGTTTCCCGAACGCTGCCCAGCCGAGTTGAATCCGTCGATTGACCTCTCGGTCAAAGTTGGACTTACCTAGTCGGTCTATTTGTCCCAGGTAAACATACTTGTCAACAACTTCGAGCTTAGTGCTCCTAACAACTACCGGCATAGGTGTGACATGGACGTTAAACATGATTTTTGTTTAGTCCATGTTCATCTTAAGACCTATCCGAAGGGAGACACTATTGAGGTCATTGAGCATAGTGCTTAGGTCCTCCAGCGATTCTGCCATAAGGACTATATCGTCGGCAAATCGAAGGTAAGTGATGTACTCGCCATTGATGTTAATACCGCATCCTTTCCAGTCCAGTAGCTTGAAAACGTCTTCCAATGCAGCGGTGAAGAATTTCGGGAATATGACGTCACCCTGTCTTACACCTCTCTGCAGTTGGATAGGTTTCGTACTCTGATTCTGTACTCGGATAGCCATCGTAGCTCTACTGTACAAACACTTCAGCACTTCGATATACCGACAGTCAACTTGGCACCGCTGAAGGGACTGCAGTACCGCCCAAATTTCGACGGAATAAAAGGCTTTCTCATAGTCCACATACGCCAGACATAGTGGCAAATTGTACTCTTCGGACTTCTGTAAGATTTGCCGAAGGGTATGTATGTGGTCTATGGTGCTAAAGCCCTTTCGGAAACCGGCTTGTTCGGGAGGCTAGAAGACGTCAAGTCTGCGCGCGAGACGATTCGTAATGACTCTCGAAAACAGCATGTAGATGCGGCTCAGAAGGGAAATCGGTCTGTAGTTCTTCAAGAGAGCGTAGTCACCTTTCTTGAAGAACAAAACCACCACACTTCTGCTCCACGCCTCCGGTGTAATGCCACCATGGAGGACGGAATTAAAGAGCTTCTGAAGGAATTCAAGTACCGGTTTTCCACCCGCTTTCAGAAGCTCCGCTGTAATTCCATCCTCACCTGGGGACTTGCCGTTTTTAAGATGCTGGAGAGCCATTCTAATCTCGCTCAGACTGACGTCCGGGATATCCTCGGAATAGTGTCGGATAAGACTCGCTCTTGGATCGTTACTCACACGCAAGTGTGAGTAACGACGTGTACAGCTACCCATAGAACCTCTCAATCTCACTCAAAATCTCAGGTGTCCCAGAAACGACGCTGCCAAACTCTGTATTCAGCTTTGACAGTTGGTTCTTTCTGGCAGACAGATCTCTGAAAAAAACTTTGGAGCCTTGGTTCCGCATGGACAGTTTCCACGAGCTTGTCATTCATATCGTCCACTTCATTGCAGTCTTCTAGGCACTGAAAACGGTTTTGTAACTCGAGCTGAAATATTTCGGGACTTTGGAACAGAGCATGAAAGGGACGGAGCGTTGACTTCATTAGACGTGACCTCTCCAACTTAACGTTTAGGTTCAGTGTGCATCTAACCATTCGGTGATCGCTACCAGTTCCCCCCCCCCCGATCACGGAGACATCACTGAACAGTTGTCGTCTAGTCGTCATAATGAAGTCAATCTCATTTTTTGTCGAACCGTCGGGGCTCGACCAGGTCCACTTCCTGTGAGGCCGCTTCTGGAAGAAAGAGTTCATCATAAAGAGTCCCTCTTTCTCCATGAAGTCGGCCAGCTGCTGGCCCCTTGGGTTCCGTTGCCCTATTCCGAATTTCCCTACTTTCAGCTCACCGTCCTCTCTTGTGCCTAGTTTTGCGTTGAAGTCTCCCATTAACACCGTATAGTGGGATTTGGGGGAATGCATGGCTCTAGAGATATCCTCATACATTTCCTCCACCTCCTGATCGGGATGTGCCGAGTTTGGTGCATAAACCTGTTTGACCTTCAGAAAATACCGTTTGGTGATTCTGAGTATAAGGTACGCAACCCTCGTCGACACACCCTCAATCTTTACAACGTTGTTAACGAGAGACTTGTGGACGATAAATCCGACACCTGCTTGGCGCAGATGGTCGCCGGTGATGGCGATGGTGATATAGCAAGTTGCCGGATTCGAGGATTACCGTGTCCTCCCCATCTCTTCGGACCTCGGATAATCCTATATTATGCCAGCGTATCTTGTCTATCTCTTCTTCCAGCTCCACGATCTTCTCGTCAGTCCTCAGGGTGCGTGCGTTGTATGTTGCCAGGTCAAGTCGTTTTAGGTGGCAACCGAACCTCCACCGGAGATTCTTAGCACCCCCTGCCCCGCCGTTACTATGGTCGCCACCGTAGCCAGGAATAGCGGGGCCGCCGGGGACTGGGGGTCGTCTCTTTGTTGCTCTCTTCATTGGGGGGGTATTGGCCATAGTTGCCACGCTTGGTGATCGGGTTGGCAACCGCAGTTTTTTTTATTGTACTTTTGCTGTTATCAGGATGATGCTGCTGCCCATCTCCTGCCTGTTTCCCTTTGTCGCCTTTTACGACACCCACGGGAGATATGGGGTAGTGGATATTCTTAACCGTCACTACACGGCACTAAAACTAATAACGACATATAATTATAATCTCTTTCTATCTATCTCCTATCAAAAGTCCACTGCTGAACATAAGTCTCTCCATAGATTGCCTCAAATAGGGAATTTGTCACAGTCGTGACGCTTGGCAGGCAGGGTGGCAACCGCAGTTTTCAATTTCTTTTGATGTTATTAGTAATACGCTACTTCCCATCTACTGGTTTATTCCACACTGGTGCCTCTTACAGCACCCAAGGAACGATATGGGGATATTCTTACCCCACCACTACAAAGTTAAAAGTAATTTGTTTTATCCTAAATCCATATTAACGGCTTGCTCTACTATTCTATTTACATGTATAATATATATTGCACTATTGACGTTGTTAATTATAATGTCTTCTGTTGGTTTTTTGGCACATCCAAGAACTCCCTTTTACAGCATCCAAGAAACGGACTTACGAAGGTATCGTATGTATTTTAGGTACGGGTGAAATTACAAAACCGGCACTTGCAGCTTTCTATCGTTCAGTAATTGGATTAACAGCAACTCGAGTAGACGAGATCATTGACACTGCATATGACCGTATGACTAGCGTAAGTGTGAAAAGTTCTTTTCATTTGTAGTTATTAATCCTGACTACTGAGGTTCAGGGTTTGCTATCTCAAGCTTGATTAAAATTTGTAGAAAACTATTCAATTAATAGGGTGGCAAAGGAGCATATGGTCCACCTAAAGGTAAGTGGATGCAGTAACCCATAGACTCTACGTCTATCTTCGATTGAGAATCAAAATGCAGAAGCGTTGACAACCCTGAGGTTCTAAATGGAATGCCTCATTTCTAGTAAAAAGCTCATCTATACTCACCATATGAAACACATCAGCATTAAGCTATTATTTCACGCTGACATTCTATGATTGCGTAATCCATTCCCGGTCGAGCCAAACCATTCGTGGTACAACCATAATATACCTGCAGCATAACACATCAGCATTAAGCTGCTATTTCACGCTGGCATTCCATGATTGCGTGATCTATTCCCGGTCAAGCCAAACCATTCGTGGTACAACCATAATATACCTGCAGCATAACACATCAGCATTAAGCTGCTATTTCACGCTGGCATTCCATGATTGCGTGATCTATTCCCGGTCAAGCCAAACCATTCGTGGTACAACCATAATATACCTGCAGCATAACACATCAGCATTAAGCTGCTATTTCACGCTGACATTCTATGATGGCGTGATTCATTCCCGGTCGAGCCAACCCATTTGTGGTACTAAAAATATTGCAATTTTTGTGGTAGTTTCTCCTACTGTTTTTTTATTTTAACAAATTGAAGTGACAAATAAACTTACTGTCCACTTGCATGATATGTGGTTACTGCAATCTATGGACAATTGTAACCAACTTCAAACAAAGAAGGCTATAAATTCGTTTGTCATTTCTATGGACTAAAATCGTATGTCTCACAGCCTTCAATTATCTGGGCATCACCATCCATAAAATACTATTAGTAAATCAAATTGTGCATGCGACAAAACGTTGGAACCTTGATTTGTATGCGCTAGTAGAACATACCTACGCGCTTCGCGCTTAAGGCATGCAAATAAATGACACAGATCATTCATTTCATATAAACATTCCAAAAATCTATCCACAATATATCCCCCCCTTGCACTTATGGTCTGTACCAAAATAAATTGTTTCTTTCTTCCGTTCTTCTTTCACAAAAGCATATGTCCCACAGTGGACTAAAATAAACAGCTTAAAAGTAAACAGACAAATATGTTAAGTTAAAATAATCTACACACAATATCAGCTTGAAGTAGCAGCATATTGCTGCTGTGTTTCGTATGGTAACAACGCATTTTGCTCGTTTGCTCACCTTTACTTCCATAAAAAATTTATTTATCGTTATTTCTTTCTCGAAACTTTAGCTCCTAATTGATTATTTTGTTTGTTTATTTGTTTTTAACGTATTCACGCTTTAAAGTTTTTTTTTCTAACTAAAGAAGAGATTTAACACAAAAGCTCTAGAATATTTTTGTTTCATGGTAATTTAATTTATAAAAATAATTCCTAATGCTTTAATTTTAGTGAATTAATTATTTTTCATATTGTGTATTTCAGAACGGCTATCTTATTTTAGACTACGGTACATACGTTCACTGCTTTACTAACTGGCTGATGGGGAAGAATCCAAACGGCCCAGGTCAATGGGTTTTGGTACCACCGAAGGACTCTCTACCACAACCTCCGTTCCCTGTAGATTACAGCGCGCTGAACACAGAACCTGCTAAGTTAGAACCCTACGTACCAGACAAGAAAACAAACAGGCATTCTGTTATAGTTTAAGATTTAATTACATGTAACAACTGATTTTTGTACCGTCTAGAAAAAATACCTATGTGCAGTTGGTGAATTGCAGTAGAAGCTTGTGGCATAGTTATTTTAATTTTTTAGTTCTTAGAAAATATATCGTAAAACAAACACCATATTTTACGCGTCCTTGAGGCCGGGTAACTAGGTCTTCAGTGTATAATATGTGCATTATCTATGCGCTAATTAATGGGCTTACTTGAAATGAGCCGTGGTAGCTGGAGAGGCTAAGCGCTCGCTATAAATTTCACAATACGCGAGCACTCCGGTTTCGATCCCCGCGGAAACCAATTAAATTGTTAATAGCAATTTTTAAGTAACGATTTACCACGTGTTCGGCGGTGAAGAAAAACATTGTGAGGAAACCTGCATGTCTGAGAAATAAGAAAATAAAATATTTCAATGTGAAGTTGGCGAACACGCAATGGGGATGCGCAGTGGACATTTCCTAGTTATAAAACTCAGAAATGAAAAGAGGCCTGTGCCTGGAAGTGGGACATATATAGGCCGTAACTTTAACTTTAACTAACTTTAACGTTAAATTAGTAGTTTTATTGATATATCAATTTCGTAATATATCAAAAAAAGAGGACCTATCATCCTCGTTCACCTATTTCTACATAATTTTTTTCTGACGGTATAAAAGCCAGCCGGTAAAGTTATGAAATTTAATGTGCAAAAATGAGCCATTTCCGTCGTACATCAAGGGTGCAGTAAGAAGAAACTGTCAACATTTCAATCAAATCGAACTCTGCATTTTAACTTGTTCCGAATGATAATTATAATATTGGGAATAAACATAAGATTATCATACAAAGTTATGTATAGACATCAGACCAACAAACACAGTCGTAGCGCTGCGTACATTTCAAATAACACCGAAACCATTCTCAATTTCTTGACACGCACTCACAACCACATATTTCTTCTTTCTTTCTTTAACAGCCCGTAAAAGTCCGCTGCTGAACGCACACATTTGCACTTTGAACCATATTGTTGGCGGGGAATGATTTTAGATGCATATGTGTTCGTAAGTGCATGTTCTTACAATCAGTGAAACATGGTTTTGATTTGGTTTCGGCTTCACTTGAAATGTACCCAGCGCTCCTTATTTCTTTTTTGTTAGTCTGACCGTGGTTGGTATCAATATAACTGTATGTACATATTTATTATATTTTTAATTGAAATCATGTTTATTCTACTGATAAAATATCGACCATGTGTTGTCATAGATTAAGCTACCCTAAGTCGTTCACTATAAGAGCTTAAACTCTAATTAATTAGATTACTGCTAAATTCAAAACTAAAATTTTTGCTTGCATACGCAAATGAAACGCTTTACTTGAATATTTCGACCAATTCTTCTACGATTTTAGATACTATGTAGATATATTAGGTAATAAAAACGATGTAAATATTAGATGTAATTGTACCTTTGCACAACACGGTAAACAACAACTGCCTTAAACTAAGCATATTCACATTTCACATAATAGCCTTATTTTATACTTTAGAATAAAAAGTTTAAGTGTTTAAGCAGAGTAAAATGTATTAACTTGAAATCACTTCAATAAACTTTTTTTAGTAAACATTTTTGTTTTATTTTATTTTAGGTATATTTCCCAGTCCGATAAATTGAGTTGAACGATGTAACTGTATTATTAACTAGATCGCTTTTTACCGCTTTAAAAGAATACGGTGTAGAGTTAAATGAAATAAAAGCAGTTTTTCCCTTAAAATTTAAATATAACTTTTTATTTAAAAGAAAACAATTAAAAAGCAATTAAAAATAACGAAATTCAAATCATGTGCACCCTACATAATCATGGCTAATATACATGAAGTAAGTAGATCAATTTAATAAAATATCAATGTCATAAGTAGGTAGCATTCTACTTCATTCAAGAACATTTTGTGATATCACTGTTGTAAATTAACTGTTCTGCACCTGTTTTATTAATACCTTGTTCATAGTGTGCATAATGTTTACATTATTTTAAGTCTTATCTGTTTATAACAAAAAAATACAATATACAATTTATATTATAACAACAGGTCGAGTGGGCCTGATGGAGTCCCACCTATTGTACTGAAGACGTGTACTCTGGAGTTGGCACCGGTTTTAACGCGTCTTTTTCGGTACTCCTATTCCCTAGGCGTAGTCCCGAACTCATGGAAGACAGCTTTGGTGCACCCGATCCCTAAAAAAGGCGACAGCTCAAATTCGTCCAACTACAGGTCTATCGCTATCACCTCCTTGTTCTCCAAAATAATGGAAACAATTATTAACTGCCAGCTCATGAGATACCTTGAGGATCACCAGCTGATTAATGACCGACACTACGGTTTCTTTCAGGTTCACTCAGCTGGTGATCTTCGGGGTTACCTAACTCATATATGAGTGGAGGCATTAGAGTCCAAGGGGGAGGCGTTCGCCGTTAGCTTGGACATAGCGAAGGCCTTTGATCGGGTTTGGCACAAAGCGCTTCTTTCAAAGCTTCCTTCCTATGAACTTCTCGAGAAATTGTGCAATTCGATCACCAATTTTCTTGTAGATCGGAGCATCAAGGTCGTAGTAGATGGTGCAAGCTCCGATAACAAGCCCATTAACGCTGGTAGTACACAAGGCTGCGTGCTATCACCAACGCTGTTTCTTTTGCATATCAATGATATGTTGCAAACAGATAACATTCATTGGCCGTCCCAATAGTTCTCGGAAAAACGTCGCCGAGTACCAGAACAAACTTGTGTCTGAAGTCGAGACTTTCCTGAACAAAGTATCGGTCTGGGAGCGACTAAATCTAGTCCAGTGCAATCCCCAGAAGACACAAGTTTGCGCGTTTACCGCTAAAAAGAACACCTTAGTCGTATCTCCTGTTTCAGGACACTTCCCTTGTCGGCCAGTATCGGAATCCTCGGCGTCAACATATCAAGTCACGTGCAGTTTCGTGGTCACTTGGATGAGAAGGCCAAATTGGCCTCTAAAAAGCTTAGTGTGCTCAGCAGCGCGGGACAGTACTTCACGCCGGCACAGTTCCGCCGGCAGGTTCGGCCTCACATAGAATACTGCTCCCATCTCTGGGCTGGAGCTCCCCAGTGTCAGCTCCTTCCATTTGATCGCATCCAGCGCAAAGCGGTTCTAATCGTCGTTCAAATCGACTCACTAGCACTGCGAAGAGATGTTGCATGTATTTGCGTATATTATCGCATCTAGCATGGGGAGTATTTTGAGGAATTGTTCGGACTACTCGTAATTCCAGCCGCACAATTTCATTATCGCACATCGCAATAAAACTCGCGATACCGTCCATATCATCTGGATGATTGGCGTTCCACCACTGTCCGATTTAAAAGAAGTTTTCTTCCTCGCACAACTTCCTAGTGGAAACGACTACCAAGAATGATTTTCCGGACCTATACGACTTAGGGACCTTCAAGAAAAGAGACTACTCCGTTTTATTAGGCCAGTAACACATCTAGAATTCCCCTGGTGTTGCAGTTCATGGGCGGCGGTTGTCACTTACCATCAGGTGAGCCGCATGCTCGTTTGTTTTCTCGTATAAAAAATTATAAGTAACAGGTAGAAATAACAAAACAACAATGTGCAGTGCATTGGAAAACTTTTAATTAAGTTAAACGCGGCGAATTAAACCTTTTACAGTGCTTTAAGCATGGTGATCGACTACAGGTAATACCATCAATTAATATATTTATTTACCTTTAGTCTATCATTTTACTTCAGTTTTTATAAGGTAGACAAGAAGATGAAATACTCTTGGTATTTCTATCCTCATTTTGCAATTAATCCGCGGAACATGTTTTTTTTAATGCAACTATTTAGACATTTTACTTGTTGGAGGCTAGAACATGGAGCTTGATATCCTTAATCCACTCAAAAAGTTTGAAAAATTGAAATATTAATAAAAAGTAAAAAAACAACTTCAGAGCACTAAAAAGAATAAAATAATTTTCACGTAATAAATAGCTTCTGAAGTAAAGGTTTTTATTTTTCAATACACTATGTTTTCATAAGCTTTTATTTGGAAATATTTAATTCATTTTAGTACTTTTAAGTCGGCTTTTACTAATTATTAAAAAATATATTTTTAGTTTACAAATTGCATTAAAAAGAAAACATATAGCAATAAAAATATATTTATTCGCAGTGCTTAAAAGTAACTGAGAGTTGCTATGGTTTAAATCACGACGATGATTTCTGAAGACCAATGGACGTAAAATAAAAATACGAGAGGTGAGTGGTAATAACATATAATAGGTAAGTGATAAGATGTTTTACAAAGGATCACTTTTTATAGAAGTAAGGTTGACAAACAAGCACACATTCCACCTTATGTTAAGTAGATGCTGTAACATGAATGGGCCAAAATGAACCGCGTGGCTTTTTTATAGCAAACGAACATACGGCTCCCCTGATGGTAAGTGACTACCGCCGCCCATGAATAACTGCAACACCAGGTTAATTGCAGGTGCATTGCCAGCCTTTTAGAAAGGAGTAAGCTCTTTTCTTGAAGGTCCCTAAGTCGTATCGGTCCGGAAAAATCGCCGGTGGTAAACTATTCCACAGAAAGATCGTACGCGGAAGAAAACTCCCAATGAAACGTACTGTGGTGGTCCGCCAAGCATCCAGATGGTATGTATGATATAGGGAGTTTTGCCGCAATATACGTTCGTGAAATTTGGCGACTGGGATCAATCCGAACAAGTCCTCAGAGCACCCCCCGAGGTAAATACGAAACAAAATGTAAAGGGACGCAACATCTCTTCACGGCGCCAGTGAATCGAGCCGATTAGAAAGGACTCGTTCGTCGACGATTCGAGCCGCTCTGCGATAGATGCGGTCAAGTAGTAGGAGCTGACACTGGGGCGCCCATGCCCCAAGTTGATGCGTCAGCCGAGGCCCGGTAGCACTCCTGCTTACAGCGTGAGGCTATTTTACAAGAGCGACTAAACCATGG